GTACGTTTTCCGCCCAACAGCAGTCACTAATACCTCCGGTAGATGGGGGAAGCATTATAGATACTTCTCAGCCAGTAGAGAGCCGGTCTCGCTGGCTGGGTGGGACTGATGGTAAGCACCAATACCGGTAGGATATGGAGGTTGGTAAAAATCATAGAGGGAAGCACAATGGACCACTACAGGTCTAAGTACATGGGGAACCCACCCTCTCTAATAACTAACTAACTAACTAAGTATAGCGCTATCGCTAATTCACTACAGCACGCACTAAGTTTTCTGAGTCTGCTGCCNCTATAGACTTATTTGGATTGGTACTTGCATTTATTGAACTCTCACAGAACGTAACTACAAGTAAGTATAGCGCTATCGCTAACTCACATACTCTAAAATTCACTACAGCACACACTAAGTTTTCTCAGTCTGCAGCGTCTTCTTCACCAGTCGTTGTCTGGTAACGGCTTCCAACGGCGGGATTTTCCCTTACTCTGGTTTCTCAAACTGTACCCGTGCCTCAGCTACCAGCTTCTAACAGCTACAGCTCACAAGGACTGAACCGCAGCAGTTCTCTAACTCTCACTCACCCACCAACCTGCTCGCTCCACTTCACTGAGCTCAACTGAATTTGCTCCACTCCACTCTGCTCCTTATGTAGCCTCAGCACAGAGCACATGAAAAACAAAGCTTTTTATTGAAGAAAGTCGTCTTCTGGGTTCAGGCACCGTGTATTCTTCGTTTTGGCCGACGAAGAATACACGGTGCCTGAACCCAGAAGACGACTTTCTTCATTGTCATCGCCGTGAAAACCTCAAAACTTACAAAGCTTTTTATTGTTCCTTGCTTCGATTTTGAGGTTAGTACCTAGCAACTGCCGTTGTTTATAGAGACATTACTTGGAAACGTTTCTGCATGCTGCATTATCAAATAATGGGGTTTCCGTCGAATTTTCAACGGGTATTACACTTGTGAACCCGTAAGTTGAATAAAATCTCATCCACAGCCGAAAGTAAGGTTTATATCGAACAGTAAGACCCAAATATAAAGTCTCTGATAGTGTAGGTCCGAGTACTAAATTAATCTAAGCAGTTTCGGAGATGAAACAAGCTCACACGTGCCCTGTGTACATGCGAATGTGAAGGCATGTCAGCAACACGGGTCTGCTACAAGGGTTAAAGGGCAGACAGCTCATCTGAAGAAAGACGGTCAATTTGTCAAAATACGAGCCTCAATGCATCCTTACACAAGAGAAAATAAAAATGTAGAGGCCGTTATGAATAAAATTGTGGAGGCTGTATTGGGAATAGATGAAGATTTGTCCATAATGTTTGGAATAACAACTTAAGTTTCTAACAAGGAACGGGTGTACCTGCCTGTCCATCCCCTAACTATCAATACATAGTTCAAAAGGAAGCGATTTCTTCACTTAATATGTGAACTAGTGACAGCAGAGTAATGATTTGGTGTACGAAATATAGGATGTTCCGTTCAAACCTCCCGCATTTTATCAATCTTAGAACAGAAAGTATGAATGGTAGCAAAATAAAGCTACAGGAAATACAAGAACATCACAAAAAAATTATTTGACACGCTAATAAACCTCTACATGTGCACAATTGGTAGCACGAACAATATCCAATCTGTATTCAGTTTCTTACCATGTTCTTCCCAGCATGAGGCACGAACACACCGTCTTTCAAGTAACCTCAGAGGAAGAAATCGAGCGAAGTGAGGTCCGGTGAACGTGGTGGCCACCGAATTGGGCCGCTACGTCCAATCCAGCGATCTTAGAAGGTGGCATTGCAGGACTTCCGAACATCCAGGCCCCAGTGTGGGGAGGGCTCCATCTTTTTGAGAGATTATGATAGGCTCTACTAAATCCAATCATTCGAACTAGAACCCTCAATTGTTCGCCACGCGTACAACCCTACACGTGGCATTATACATACTTACTTCCTTACTTAATCCGTTCTTCTTACAACCGTAGGGTTTCGAGGGTTTTTTTCTTCGTTTTACAGACGGCAGGACTACTTGGACGAGCGATATGTTCGTCGCAAGGCCTCTACCTAAACACAGAACAACACAGGTACAGATTAGACACATACCAAACATACATGCCTTATGTGGGATTCGAAACCACGATCCCGGATTCCCAACGAGCTAAGACAGTTCATGCCTTAGACCGCTAGGCTACCGTGACAGGCCATGGCATTATAAACAACTCTCAACCTCTAGACTTCAATCTTCTGGGTTGTGAAGCCGTGTAGTTAGGAAACAGCCAGAAATTCCGGAGGAATATGTCTCGTCTTTCTTCAGATTCAAAGAAAAACCAAACAAGAAGCCCAGATCCGAAACGTCGACTGACCAAAATGCGGGATACTTTAACACAGAAGCCCCAGATTTCATGATGATCTCTGAGAGAACTTCAAATCCAACATAATTTTAAACTCATGCAAATCTTTTTCAATTTTTATTTCCTAAAAACTGAAAAAAAAACAAAAACTGTGTTGGAGCCTGAGAAAAAAGGCGAACGAATACAATTCTGAAATAATCCCTGAAAATTTATTTCAGGGGTTTCGAATAAAATTTTACACATATTTCTCACATATGTTTATTCTGAATATGTCGCCAAATTTATCCTTCTACATTCCATTACCCTAATTATATTTACTGAAATACAGTATTTAAATGTTTACCAACGCTCTAGGTTCTGTAACAACCTCAGGTTTTATTCTCCACTTATGTTCGAAGATATTTTAACTCACTACAATTCCTCTCCACAGTGCTGTGTTCTAAAACACTTTCAGTTCACAATTTCTCTTAGTTTTGAAAATGAATTTTAACTCACTGCAGCTCCTATGCTATTGGTATGGATTTTCTCCACAGTGCTCTGTTCTGGAACATTTTCAGTAGACAATTTCCGCATAGTTTGGAAGATGAGTGTTAACTCACCGCAGTTCCACTTCCATTGACACATATGTTTTCCACGGTGCTCTGTTCTGAAACACATTCAGCCCATAGTAATCGCTTACGTTGAAAGATGAATCTTAAGTCACTAAACTCCTTTTTTTTTAATTTGCTTAATGGGCGGTGGAGTCCAACTGGGGTCCACTCGGCACGGCGGCCACTGATTGGCCTATTGTAGCCTGTCCCGGCTAATTACACGTATGATGATGGAGAATTTGGTGGAATGAAGATTGGCAGGGGAAACCGAAGTACTCGGAGAAAACTCGCCCCAGCGCCACTTTGTGCACCACAAATCCCACTTGACCAGACCCCGGGATCGAACCCGGGCCTCCGCGGTGGGAAGCCAGCAACTAACCACTTGAGCTATGGCGCCGCCTCACTACAACTCCTGCCATTTGTATGGATATTCCCCACAGGTCCCTGTTCTCAAACACTTTCAGTCCGCGTTTTCACTTTCATTTAAAAGAAGTTTTCACTGCAATAGAGATTCTCTCTCGGGAAGTCCAAATATTCTCCTCAGCACCCGGTTCTCGAACACCCTCTCTCTGTTACGCTCCCTTACGTAGGCCGAACATGCTTCACCTCCATTCATGCCAAGTGGGTTAGCATAGCGGCAGCACTATACAGTTGTATTCGGATGCGCTCCGTTCTAATCTCTGCCTGGGCCTCAGATATTTTGACTGAATTTTTCCGTGGTTCTCCCTTGGTCTCTCGAGACAAATAGCTGTGATACTACCCCAATAATAATACGACCGCTTGGTTACAAATTCTTTTCCATTAATAATTCATCAATCATTTTAACGTTAGTCACTATGTAGCGCTGTGAAGTAAACCACAAGAAATATATTTCGAATTTGTTGCCGGCAGGTTGGCCCTCCCTGCGCCATGACCCCGCAGCTAATTGAGCCGTGACGTGACTCTCTCTTGCATCATGAGGGACTGCCTCAGCACTTAGATCACCATCATCGGCCGGAAGGTGAGTGTTGCCTGAATCATATCAATCATCGCAACTGCATATATGTCACTGCCTTATGTAAGCGTAGTTACACAGCAAGTCGGAACGGTTGCCGTTTTCTGTTGGTTATTGACGTATCTGAACGCACTGTATATTTGTTTATCTAAGTTTATAGTTACTTGAAGATAAGTAAAGAAATCCGTTCAAAGGCATTGAAACTATTTCCTCATTCACCATGCAGCCTTATACTGTCCTGAAATAAATGTTTTCAGAAGAGTTATTATATTTAAATATTTTCAAGTGATTGTGTCTAGAGACGGGGTTTGGTTTGGCAATCGGATGTATTGAACACCTACAGAACGTAACTACGAATATCTATGGCAGTCTAACTGAGTTACACACCCCAAAGATCACTGAAAGTATAAAACACACAAAATCTTCTGTCCTCACTGGTCGTTGTTTGGTAGCGGCTTTCGATATCGGCCGTACCCACTCCGCTGGATTCTGGATCTCTCCCCGGTTTCAGCTATCAGCTTCTTTCTTCTCATAACTACAAATATCAACCGATTCAACCAACGCAACCAACGCAGAATCAGAGTTACTTTACGATTGGCGGTTTACCGCCAATCAATTCGTTTTGGCGTCAACCCCTCGAGACCCACGACCAGAGTTTCTTTTTCAAGTGAACCCTTGCGGTCATAGTCTTTATGTGACATCCCCCTCTAACGAGAAGTTGGGTTTGTCACTTATAAATATGCCTGGCCTTTCGTCAAGTGTACGCATCGCACATATAGCATGTTACTGAAAATTCTTCATTTTGCATTATATGCAAGTCCTCTGTCAGTACAGGCTCTGCAAAACAGGTCATGTCTATCTTACATATCTTATGCTACAACGGCAGCTTAAGCACCTGAACGGTCGTAAGCTTGACTACCGCCAAGTTTAAGCCTCTTATATTTTCTGTGCTTTGTTTCACCTTGTCCTGTACCGCGTACATGTTCATCCTCATGATTTTGTGTGACTTCTGCTTGTTGTTGACTGCACACATTTGTAACACAATCGTATACATGGGAAGGTTGAAAGCCGCGTGCAACAATAATAACTGAACTACTATTCTTAGTTATATAGCCCCGGCACGGACCGCACAAAAAATATCTATTTCTCTATTGCGTGTTCTATCTATATATCTATGTCTGTCTCTCTCTGTCTATCCGTCCGTCTGTCCATATGTCTGTGTATTCCAGTTGCTCCCACTTGGAGCATAGGATATTCGTGAAATGCTTCTTTCACTTCAGTTTCTTAGTGCAAGACAATTCATTAGGACTCCTTGAACGATGGAGCAGCCCGTCGTAAGGCCACTACCTACACACAAACACAGTATAAACGTAGACATGCCTTGAATGGGATTCGAACCCACAATTCCAGTGTTCAAGCGGGCGACGACATTCATGCCTTAGGCCGCGCGGCGACTGTGATCGGCTGCAAAGCAGTGAGATAAGTCTAATTTCTGCAACTAGGTTTCCTGTTCATAAGTCATTCTCTGAATGTTATTTCAATAATTGATGTTAATTTAAAATTAAAATTGTATCAGTTGTCATTATTCGGTTGTTCCGGATACGCTGATGGATTTGCTTCTTGAACTCCGCAGTTACAACCGACTACGACCCATAACTGTGAACATCAATAAGGATCCCGGCTTCCGTTGAAAGCTGTCTGCCCATTCATGAATCCTCCTATGGCCCATGTAGTTACCATCCCTTTCAGAAAGCATAACCACCTTTCACACCCTCTGACCACAGAAACCAGATCACGGTGTTCTGTCGATGAAGCCGCCATGATAAACGTGGCACAGAGTTATGACTGCCCAGAAGGCCTACTGGGCTCTGTTTAGAGAAGGTTAATATTATTAAAAATCGACACATTGTAGTCCTGCCGACGTAACTCTGGAGCTAAATTAAAGGTTGATTTACTGTTTTAGTTTTCCTTCATCATGATTTAAGAATTATAAAACCATATTCGTGTTTTACTTTTATGATTAGCGCCCTCTATTTCTACCTTTGTAGTTATTAGCCGGGCATGGGATAGCGTAGTTTGTTGAGGCACTACGCTTTAATCTGGAAGGTCGCAGTTTCGATTCCCGATGAAGTTATGGGATATTTCAGTTGACTTAATCCTTCCAGCTACAGTGTGGCCCTGGGGTCCACTTAGCCTGTAACAGAAATAAGTACCAGGAATCTTCCAGGGGGCAAATGGCGACCGGCGCCTATGGCTGATAACCTCACCGCCATCTGTGAGCCGATTGTCTAGAAAGTATTCAAATCTCGACGTCTCACAATCCTGTGGGCTTCCACGGCCTGTTACAGGGGTAACTTTGCCTTTTTTATCTTTCAGCTCTTAGCCGCCTTACATGCAACTTGCTTTCTAAAACCTTCTAAAGTTTTGAAATTTAAATTTCTCTACTACAACACTGGTGTATGTACATTACATGTTTCCACCAACATCGGCCCTCTTCAGTTGTCTCTAAAAGTCGTTATGCAACTGCTATACTTCCGTTCCTACTTTCAAGTTTTTGGGGGTAAGCCCTCGTCTATTCGCCCCATGTGTCCTGTGGTGATGAGTATTCCTCTTATTGTGTCGTGTGTAGACGTTCTGAAGATATTCACTTTGGAAATACCTGAAGATGACCAATGTTGGTTCAAACGTGTCGTGTGCATACATCAGTGACACAGAACAGATTTTAATATTTTAAACTTTTAAAGGTTTTAAAAAATAGTTGCATATAAGACGGCTAATAACTAACAAGGAATAAAAGAGAAACATTTTACGTGGCAGAATAAACAAGGAAATTAGATTCTTAAATATTTCAGTATTGTGACGTATCGTTCCACTGCTAGGCAACGGCTCAATAAACACGGTCCCGCGTAGACAGATTCTTGGTAAACAGTCCTTTGCTGGGTAATGCATACAACAATACGCAGCAAACTCTAAACACATCTATAATATGTTTTCTATGGGGTCCATGCTGATGGTTTATATGGCACAGTGAAGGTCGTTTGCAGACAGTCCGCATCTGAGAAGCCGTCACTCGAAGACAATTCAGAAGGCGGCTGATTAATTGAAGTACTCAAGTCGTGTTATACTTACAGTAATCTTGAGAGTGTTGTACTTAATGGTAGTTGAGAGTTCGAGGAGGGGAATGGAGCGTGTCCTTGAGAATTGTGGAGATTAGCGATAGCTCTATAGTGAAGAAGTGTTCAGTAAACCCAATCATCAAATCTACTCGTAGAACCCAAAATTATTCGTCACGTGTACCTCCCCCTAATGCCCACACTGCGGCCTGGAGGGCTCGGGATGAGCTTCCACTTTTTTGTAGGGCAAGGACATTTCCCTTATCCGCAGCGTTGAGGCTGGATGTGGGTCCCACCCAGCCTCCTGCCCAATGGGTACTGGGGGATGTATGTAAGTACTACCCTCCATCTAGTGTCAAGGTTACGAACACGAGGGTTATGTTTCCACTTAGTACTGAGGGAGAACTCTCTGTAAATGAATAAATAGGTAAGCCTTCATATATGATTGGAGCCGTGAGGGCACAGTCGGTGTAGCGACTGGCTTGGGGTGGACGAGTCCCGGTAGGGGCAAGAATTTTCTCTTCTCCGTGTGGTCCAGACCGGCTCTGGGGCCCACCCAGCCTCCTATACAATGAGTACCGGAGACTCTTTCCCGTGGGTAAAGCGGCTGGGGCGTGAAGCTGACCACTCGCCTCCAACTAGTGCCAAGTTCAAGAAAATGTGGATCTGTACATCCACTCCCCCTTACGCCTTCATGGTGTAGTGCATAATTAGTTGAGCACAAGGACAACTTTTATATTTTGCCTTTTGCGTATCCAATTATTGAGCTTTTGGACATTTTTCACTGTCCTGTATATAATTTAAAATGTAGCGTTTCGGAGACCGGATTCTATCTCCGTCTTCCGGTGAAAGCCTACTAAATTAGGCCCAATCGATAGAGCTAGTCCTTATCTCCGAACCTAGAGACTAGGTAGACGTAGGAGATAGGGATTAGCTCTATTAATTGGGCCCAACTGAATAGATTCCACCTGAAGACCGAGACAGAATCCGGTCTCCGAAACACTGTGTTTAAATAAAAGCAATACTATGATTAACGTCCAAAAACACCATAAATATGTTAACATATATCGTCATAAACGTTTAAGTGTACGTGTGATAGGTTCTCTTGAAATAAAATTGAAAGATTGATGATTTATATTGTAATTTAAAGAGAATACAGCTAATACCCCTGCACAACAGCGATAGAAATATAATAGTACGACACAAAGTAGAGAATATATACAGAATCTGTAGTCGAATCCAGTCATTTCTCAAGAACTGAGCTTAAACACCAAGATAGAACATCGGGAGATAGGGAAAAATACACTTTAGAGAAACCGATACAGTGTAACTTGGAAACTTTAATAATAGGAACGCAGAATGCCACAAGGCATTTAGATCGAATGTTAGGGGCGGCAGTCGAATACGTACTTTGCGGCGCGGTGGGGGAAATAACGTGACGAAAGCAAAAGCAGGAGAAACCGATGGGCTAACCCAGCGTCACGTTAAGCTGATTCAACAAACAAAACACAATCCTGTTGCTGTAATTTGCCTTTAGTAGAGACAACAAAGGCGAGTGATTGCTAGTAATAAATATGGAAATGTTGAAATAAAAGTGAGAAAATTCACCCAGGGAATGAAGCTAGAGGCAAGCAGTGCAGATTGATCTAACACTAAACCGCAAATATTTGCTCGGAATAATTTAAAACTAAGTTTATAAATTTAATAAAAAATCAAGAAAGTTCTGACGTGAATTTTAAGGTTCCAAAATTTGTCACAAAGGTTAATCTATACAAAAGCTTTGCATCAGTGGGATTTACGATAAAAGCAACATAAAGAGTCCCATGACATAAACATAACAATAAAATAATGGAACATCTGGAAATAGAACACAATTAAATTATGAAATATAGT